GCAGGGATGCTGCGGCATCCAGGGCAGTACAATAATTTCCAAGGCTGTTGATGAAAGCCCAGGAGGTGGTTGGAGAGCAGCAGTTGCTGGGAGCAGAGGGTGTTTCTGATCAGTGCCACAGGAGCTGAGCCCAGGGGCTGCTCCTCAAGGCTGAGGCCTCCCAAGCACGGATCAGAGCCCAAAGCGGCCAGGAAAGGGGCTGGGGATGCAGCAGCACAGGGAGGGCGATCCTGTGGGTATTTATTGATCAGGAGACTCAAGGAATCTCTCAGCCAGTGTTCCAGGGTCCTTCATAACTGCAGCGGAAGGGATCAACAGGCTCAGAGCACTGTGTCTCCTGCAGCATCATTGCTGTTTGCAGTGACTTCTTCTGGCTCCTCAAAGACCCTCTGGAGGGAGAGTTTGAGGGACTTCACAGAGCAGGGCCTCCAGCACCTCCCCACCAAGAAGTAGATGATGGGGTTGATGCTTCTGTGGATGCAGGCTAGTAGGAAAAGAACCTGGGAGGGCACAACCGTGTAGCCGAGTTCCTGCAGGAAATGGCAGAGGCTGAGGGGCAGAGTGAAGAGCACAATGAGGCAGATAACAATATCGAGTCTCTTGGGTTGCTGCTGATGGGAGCCAGGCTTGAAATGAGTGAAGACAATTTTGCTGGAAATGAGGATGAAGGGAGCACAGAGGAGGAGGTTGAAGGCATGCATGGAGACGTAAAAAACCCAGCAGTGCTCAGATAGCAGGACAATGCATGGAGAAAATATTATGGCAATGACTATGATAAAAGTGATGAAGACGGCCCCGAGCAGGGCATGCATCACCTTCAACAGGTGCTGGGGATGGTGGCAGCAGTGCCAGAGTGGGCAGTGTGTGGACCTGCACCTCTTGAGGCTGATGAATGTCAGTGTGCACAGCCACAAGCTGTGTAACACTGCTGACAGCCTGAAAAGCAACCCCACGTACTGCAAGGGCATGATGATAGAGCAGGACACATTCTCCAGCAGGAAGAGCAGAGTGGAGGGCAACACAAAGAGGAGGAGGAGGAAGTCCAAAAAAGTCAGGACAAGGATGTAAAGGATGGTGCTGTTCCTGGACAAAAAGTGGGACCCAAGGTGCCAGAGCACAGCCCCGTTTCCAGTCAGCCCACAGAGGCAGATGAGCAGTATCACACTGTGTATGGCTGCGCTGGTGACATCTGTCTGACACAGATCATCTCCTTCAGTGAGTGAGGCAGGAGATGGGGACAGGGTGGTCACCTCCATGGATGGACGCTGGGCAGGCAGTGGGATGTGGCCCCTGGCTGTGGTCAGAGTGGATGGGCAGTCAGAGCTTGGAGAATCCAGGGATGGACCATGTGGCTCTTCAGCAGCGCCCTGCAGTAGGAGGGATTCAGTGGGGAGGAGTGAGATGTGCAAAGGTGGAGGGCGGTGGAAATTGTGGGGTGTGAGAGGCAAGCAGTGTGCTTGGACTGTTCATGAGGAGATGCAGAAGGGAAGTGCCGGGTAGAGGAGGGAGGATCTGGAGAGGGCCCTGCGGTCACTGGGAGAGGGTGGCAGGAAGAGAGCAGCTGCTGCAGGAGAGGAAGGTGGGGTAGGGAGGAAGGCAAACATTCCACTGACCTGTTCCCTGTGAGGCAGCAGCAGGCAAAGGGGTCTGTGCAGATCAGCGGTGCTTCCTGGTCCCTCTTGCTCCTTTGGGATCCATGTCCTAAAGCGGCTCCTGCCAGGTCAGGGACATGAAGGAGAAAGTGCCCAGGTCACCAGGAGCTCCCCATTTCCATCCTGCTGGCTCCTCTCTGT